TATATATATATATATATATATATATATATGAGAATAGCGAAGTGATTCAACTTGAATCTTTATCTTTCTCTCTTTTTCTCTTTTACAAAAGAAAATTATTACTACATTATTCATAGATAGAATAAATTCGTTATTAAATATCTGAAAGACGTGCATACTTGTACGAAATTATTGTTATTGTTATTATAATTATTATTTCTGATATTACATTACATCGGCCTAGTTGTTTGATTAATGCTTTTTTTTGTTATCACTTTCATATAGTTTTATGTTTTCTCCAATAAAGATATTTGTTTATTAAATTGATCAATTAATGTAGCATTCTAATTTTTTCAGAATTGTTTCAAAAGTAGTTGGAAAATGCATAAAGTTATCCATCAGTTGGCCAGTGAGTACCTTATATTTTGCCTTGCCACTTTATTAACTTTTTTATTTTTTATCGTTACGTGTAATTTTTGCGTATAATAATCAGAGGGAGAAAATGGAAACAAAGTTCCTGATGCTTATAATCCTTGGCCAACTTACAATTATACTGGGAAATTACGGCCATATAAGAAAGAACAACGTAGAGAGGTTCCCGAGCGTATCACTCGACCAGACTATGCCTTACATTCAGCTGGGATACCACTGAGTGAACAAGCTGTTAAAGGTTCTGGCCAGATAAAAATTCTCGACGATGAAGAAATTGAAGGCATGAGAATTGCATGCAAGGTACCATTTCATTTGTACTATAACCGTTGTGCTCAAATAACATGGATGAACGACGTAGAAAGGGATGTTGATATTGAATTTCCCATATAGACTTATGATTTTCTTTGTTTTTCAATTTCACGTCAATCAATTCTAAATTGAATTTTGCGTAGCTTGGTCGAGAAGTCTTGGACGAAGCTGCAAAAGCATGTGACGTTGGTGTTACAACAGCCGAAATTGATAGAGTGGTACATGAAGCTTGTATCGAAAGAGATTGCTACCCATCGCCGTTAAATTATTATCAGTTTCCTGCTAGCTGTTGCACTTCTGTTAATGAAGTGATTTGCCATGGTATACCTGACACTCGACCCTTGCAAGATGGTGATATTTGTAATGGTAAAAAATTTATCAATATTGTATCATAAGATTTTTTTTCTCTCAAACACATCACACTCTGATGCTTGATGTGAACTAATTATCTAATCATTGCTTTTTCCTAGTTGATGTTACGGTATATCACAATGGTTTTCATGGAGACTTGAATGAGACCTTTTTAGTGGGTAATGTAAAGCCAGAAATAAAAAAGTTGGTGGAAGTGACATATGAATGTTTGTCTAAGGCTATTGACATTGTGAAACCTGGTGAAAAGTACAGAGAGATTGGTAATGTTATACAAAAGCATGCACAGGCACATGGTTTCAGTGTAGTTCGTAGCTATTGTGGCCATGGAATTCATCGTCTGTTTCATACCGCGCCGAATGTACCGCATTATGCCAGTAAGTAACTTCTCCATCTAGAGTGATTTCCTCTCAGAACCAGAATGAATTTGTCTTTTTAATCGAAAAGCTGTATAAATTTTATTACATATATCTATAGAAAATAAAGCAGTAGGTGTTATGAAACCTGGACACTGCTTTACAATCGAGCCAATGATATCTCAAGGCACGTGGAAGGACGAAACATGGCCTGATAATTGGACTGCTGTCACATTAGATGGTCAATGGTCAGCGCAATTCGAGCATACACTTTTAGTAACGGAGACCGGTTGTGACATTCTCACGAAACGGCTTGCAAATAACGGTAGGCCATGGTTTATAGATCATTTGTAGTAGCGTTTTTTTCTCCTTTATTTTCCTGTAACGTACGTTTCAAAAGAAACGAATTCGTGCGAATCGATAGGAATCTAATGTAAGTTGTTTTGTATATTTTCCAAAAACTATACAGTAACTTTCTGTCTTTGCAAATGTATAGTAATAACTAAAAAGAAATAAACAGCATGATTGAATTACCCTTCCAATCTTGCATAGAAGCATTTGTTTCATATATATTTATTATATGCCGATACACGCGCGACAATTTTGAATACTAAATTCTAAATTCATCGAGTTTTCACAGGCGAGAGAAAGTTAAAGATATATTTAAAAAAAAAAAACAAATAATTTGTACTCGGAATGAATTATTGTATATCAGTTGTGTGTATTGAAATTTGATTTTTTATTGATTTTCCCGTTGCACATTGTGTATTACTTATTGTGCTAAACGATAATATTCACCAAGCGCGAATTTTATATTCGAAGCAACAAATGTGAAATTATGCAATCGGCAAAGATTTACACTGTGCTTGCTTATCAACGGGATAATAATTAAAATAAATCTACATACACATACTGTGCGCAACATGTACCACACACGTCTTCTGCACGCGAATGCACGTGCGCGCGGGATATAAATAACTTAAAATAAATTAATTTACAATATCTATCTATATACTACACATGCTTTTTCTAGCAATCGTCAGTTATTAATGTAATATATGTGTGTGTGTGTGTGTGTGTGTGTGCACGCTCGATAATATTTTTCCATTTTCTAGGAATGCAAACGACTGCCAAACTCAATACGGGAATCATTATCGAGTGTCGTCGTGTTTGCATCGAGCAAAGTCATCGATTGTGTATCTTCAATTTCTCCATCCTCATTCCCGTACTCGTACTCGATGTCTATGTCGTCTTTCTTTACATCACTTTGATTGTCATCGCTCGTAATGTAGTCACTCTCGTCAAGTACTGTAATTTGTAAAGGTAATTTTTCATCGTTTTGTACTTCATAACTTTGTCTACGGCGATGCTGACTATTCTGATTTGATTTTGGTTGATTATATTTTTGCTGTTGATCCTCATCATCGATCTGCGATTTACTATGTTGATTTACTACATCATCGTCATCGGTCTTATGATTCAAAGGCATTGACTCGTCTTTCTGCGAATCTTTTTTCTGTTGTTTCCGAAGCTGGCCAATGAGACGACTGTTGATGTTACCAGCAGCAGCTAGCGCGGCTAATTTTTCAGCAGCCTCTCTGTTGGGAAGTGTCGTATAGAATCTTGTCGATATAGCACTATCATCGATCACTTTATCGAAATATTTGATTGGATTTCTTTGATGGATCATTTCTCCGTATTCAATATTGTTTTCAGATTGTTCGGTCGCTCCAACTATAGGATATGAAAGTTGTTCGTTGAAGTGTACATTATTATTTTGTTTCCGTATATCCCCTGAAGTTTCTGGATCAAGATTATAATCTGCCGTAGCACTTTCGGAGGCATAATCTTGATCAGGTAAAATTTGCTGCTGTCGTCGCTGCAGTAGTAATTGATTAGTCTGTTCATCGTAATTGAAAGAGTGCATTTGCGGTTGAGAAAAGCTTGTTACGGCATCTGGTTCAAGAGCAGTTTGGCTGAGTTGTTGCTGAAGAATGCGTTGCTGATCTAATAATCATAAAAATCCATCAAATATAGCCAAATATCTATCTGCGCGCGCGGTGTGTGTGTGTGTGTGTGTGTGTGTGTGTGTGTGTGTGTGTGTGTGTGTGTGTGTGTGTGTGTGTGTGTGTGTGTGTGTGTGTGTGTGTGTGTGTGTGTGTGTGTGTGTGTGTAATGTGTTTTGTATATATATATATATATATATATATATAGATGCACTACCTGTTGTATACTGCTCCGCGAGTTTGTGTGGAAAATTATTTAACAAATTGTAAAGTTGCGAAGCTGATAATGGTGGCTCTGCTGGATGGCCTACATGAAGATCCGCCGGTATCTGTTGCGTTATTGTGTACGGAATGGCAGTAGAAGGAAATCCGACGTGTAGAGAACTATGAAGATTCGTTTGCATTGGCATGTTTGACTGACCAAATTGTACATTCGAACCTATAATACTCGTATCTAAAGGGGTGTTAACGGGGTGATCTGCAAAAAGCTCGTTGGATTGCGACTGAGGATTGTTAATTATAATCGAGTACAGCCTCGTTACATCTAAATCTTGCGGTTGGAAGATGGCCGGCTGAGCAGTTTCCTTTAGAGTCACGTCGTTGCTTTCTGTAACTTCGTATTGATGTTGCTGCGAACTCGAGCTCGTCGCTGTTCCTTGCGACGATAAACTGCTGTTAATAGTGCCGGATCCAAAAGTGGTTCTTCTAGGGTCTGTGTATGTGTGTGTGCGAAAGTAATATCCACCGAAAGTCATTACGACATGAATCTTGATCATGACATCTCAAAATATCCAGCTCAAAGTGGCTGTGGTAACGGAATAAAAATTAGTACTTACTTTGTATTGAAGTTTGATAATTGAGATCGCTTGATGATTGATGATACGGTCGATGATCCGCGATATTTTCCAAATTGGTAGCTGTATTGTACTGCTTATCTGCTGGGCTCAAATTTGGTGCTGGAATCGTGTGAATAGGTCCTTTATCGTCATCAACAGCCCCTCGATGAGTAGGTGGCAAAACTACCAATTCTGGTCTGTATTCCGGACTATATACTGGTATCTTGTTTATAGAATATAATTCTTTAGTGGGAGCACGTTGTGGCAAAATTAGCCGATTGTTCGGGGGGAATACTGCTCGCATTGGAATTTGATTCTTCCAGCTAGCCGACAAAACATTATACATCGGTCGACGAATTCTAAATTAAAATTAAACAATTTATCGTGATGTAATATTCGTACGAAAAGGAAAATACATATTGAAAACTTGTTACCTGTAATTGGCGTGCTGATAAGGTACTCTCTGATTAGACAGACTACCACCGATGTGAACGGTGTTTCCCATAGATATTCTTTGATTGACAGGCCGAGGCTTTTTTAATATTAGCGTAGGAGCGTACGGTGGAGATAGTAATGGTCTTCTAATCTTATTCTTCGCTTCAGAAAGGCAGATACACATGGCGAGGAGCCAGTAAATCCAACTAATTGTCTACAATTTGGTTTATACAGTGTATCGAATTGATTCTCTATCTTGCTTTCTCCGAAAATTTTCAACAGGAAAACAGAGATTGCTCCTATTATTTTCAAAGCACTTTTATATATAAGTGAAAGCGAAACGATCTTTACAGCATCACTACAGTACCCATGACTCTTTGGACGAGTCATCCGTACGTGCGTCACGCAAATAAGCGTGTACGCACGTGTACGAGTATCCGTAAAACCAAAGAGAAAATTGCCGCAAATCGTTATAGTATGCTAAATGTGGGACATTGTGCTACATTGATGCTCGTAGGAAAAACAAGCATAGTCAAATCGAAAAACGAAAGAAAAATATGCGTGAAAATATACGAAAATTGAATGTTGTCTAGGTATGTATAGCTAATTTAGTTAGCGAATTGATGTCGTGTTGAGATCACGTCTAATCTATTATATTTTATCGATAGCAAAAGTCAAATCCTTATCTCGGTTATTAAGCGACGATCTTTAACACAAAGACTTTGCCTTCAAACAATACTCATTGTTAAAAAAAAGCTTCTGCATTAAATTCGAGAATTGATCAGTAAAAAATCTGTTAGTAAAGAGTGGAGACAAAGGAAATTTATAAATAATATTTTTATTTTTTATATATCTAATAGGTAGTTAATTTTTTTTTATAAAATTTATAATAATTTTACATGTCAATATATGTATTAAATTACTGTAACAATTCGATTAAACTCGGTCTTTCGTATAATAAAGGCAAATTTATTGTTTAATAGCATGTACATACACTCTAATAGGCTAAAGAAATCGTACAACACAACTACTTTCAATGAGCTGCAATATCTAATTTTTGCACAATATATATCTTACCTTCATAATAATTTATGATCTTGTCGACTGCAACGTACAAAACGGCTGCACCGTTCCCGTTATAAAAAATTGTCCGACTTTTTCTGTTTTTCTGTTTTCTTTTTTTTATGTTAATAAGAAAATAATTTAATTTCGCATAGTTTTACGCCTATAAATAATCAAATCTGAATTGCGCGCACGATGATTGACCATCGAAGAAGCACAACACGTTCTGCACACAATTAGGTCATTGTCCTTCATTTATACTCCTCCGAACCAGTGAATGTATTATCCAAGACTAAAAGTGTCGACCTCCTACCTCAATCCGCAGCAGTTGTTTCGGGATATCGGTAAGATTGGAGAAAGAATAAGAATAATCTATACTTGATAATTATTATAACAATATAATTATATCAAATTAAAAAATTATTATAACAATATAATTATATCAAACATATAATTTTATACATTATTTCTGTATTACAATATTTCTCTCGCCAAGAAAACTTTGATTTTCTTTTAGTATAATTTATTCATATTAAACTATACGCTATTGCGAAAAAGTTTTTATGACAACACATGTTATTTAGTAGAAGAAATTAAATAAAAATAAGAAAGCTGTAAATATCTGTACTGGAAAAAAAGGGATTTTAATTCCTAGGATAGTTTAAGATTCAAAATAAAAAATTTAATTTAACATACATTATGAAAAAATTGTTCTCTTATATCTGTAAAAAAAGATATTTGTAGTTATATGTATGCATACACACAAAATGGGATTTTTCTATAAAACCATATATGTTCTTGCTTATAAAACTGTGAACCGATTTGATCGAACGCGTAATTTGGTCACGCTCTCGCAACGTTTCTCTCCATATCCATATCCTCGTACCGGACTCGCTTGGGAATGCAGTCGTTGATGCGCGGTTAAAACTGCCACGCGTGTGTGATCCAGTGACCTATATATATAATTACAAAAAATGTGATGCTCATAGAATAAAGAAAAGAAATTAATGTTTAACAGCGTAAAATCTCATCTTTGTGGTTTTTTTTACGTAATATATTGTAAATCACACTTTGTTACACATATTTGTAAAATTGTAATAACTTAATTAAGTATAACGATACGATTATCTCATTAATTGGTTTTTGCACCTTTCTATTTTTGACATATGTAGATAGTTGTCCATATATATCGTTTCGAAAATATCTTTGTATTTAATACAATAGTGCGCGTATTATTTATATTAACATCTATAATTAATATTGTAATACTATAAGAGAGACAATCTGGAAAAAAATATATATATATGATAATACTAATAGAACAATTTTATGTAACATAGGTATGTCAAGATTGATGAATTGCTTTTTAAAATATATAAAAAAAAATTTTTATAATTCTCTTATTGGTGTAACGAAATTTTTTGTCTCCCATTGTCTTCAATGACTATAATTGCTCATTCAATTATACATATAATTTGCTATTCCGCAATTGTTAGATTTATACTGTCCGTATATGAGAATCTTTGACTACATATAAATATAATAATCAATATATAGCGGCTAATACATATTATAGTAAAAAAAAATAGAGAATATCCGCTGTGATTGTATATATATATATATATATATATATATATATACTGTAGATTTTATATGTAATTATATGCTTTATAATCGAAAAAAATTTTATATGCGCGATGTTTTTCTGCAATTACTTCATTACATATACATGCTCTAATCTATAATTAATCATTATGATTCGATAAGAATTACAATTAAAATAGATTCTTCTTTGTAAATATATAGGTACATACGTACACGTATATCGTGGCATTCGTAATTAACGGTATATATAGTATAACGGTAATTAGTTGACTGACCAACTAAAATTGACCAAATGTAACAGATAGACAACTGTAACACATAGACTTCTGTACCTTTTAACGACAATGTCATTACGATTAAATTGTTGTTGTGTTGCATAATACACGATGAGCGAGCAACAAACTTAAAAAAGGTTAACCTAACTTAGTTATAATATCTCGATCGCGGTTTCTCGGTATGATGTTTTAACATGATAATGTCGATAAAGTTGTACTATACATACATATACAATGACATAATATATGTTATATGTAATATTATATACACGTGATATTAAGATTCTTTTCGTTTTTCGTATTATAAGAATGTGAAATACACACAGTTTTTATAAAAAATGCGAATGTGTAAAAATACATTCGCGCGTCCTATACATACATACATCCATACATACAATGTATATATGATTATGTAAGGCACACTTATCTTATCCTATGAGCTCTGCTTTCCAACAGCCGGGCGACAAGAGAGAAGAGAAGCACTTCTCTCTGCTTCTCATAATTTCCACCAGACTCCGGGAGAGTCGCAACAGTGCAGCCAATAGGAACTAACCAATCAAAGAAAAGATTTGTACATACATATGCATTTGTATGTATGTGTACATACGTGGTTAGGTTATTAGGCCATTTAGGGTATTGTGTGTGGCTGATAAAGCTGATTGTATCATCGCGCGGTTGTATTTGGCTCGTTTTGTATTTTCTTAATTTTATGAATGTTTTAGTCATTTAAACGATTTTCGACAAATTTAGAACATGTCCACGAAATCGCCAGTAGATTTGCGAGCAGAGTTGGCAGAATTAGTAAAACGCAAAGCTGAAATCGCTGTGAGTATTTGGGTTTGAACAAATTGTTATGCATGCGACGTTAAATTAATCGCTACACGCCTACGCATACGTTTGCAAAATGTACAATTTTCAATTGTCATTCCAACTTTAACATAAATATGAACAGTTGCTTGCGTGGGATTTACTAAGTTTAATGTGAGGTTATGGTGGTTTTAAAAGAATGTTTAAGTTGATAAGAAACTTAAATACAATTAATGTTTCGAAAGAAAAAAACACATCATTTGTCATTAATTGTTGCATTTGTCATGTCATGACAAAAAAGAGATACACCACTTGTAATATGGTCACTAATGGTTTGTATAACAATTCTGTATACAAATCATTCAATTCTGTAGGCAAAATTTTCACAAGAATTAATTTATTTTTGTAGGAGACGTTGGCCAACTTGGAACGTCAAATATATGCTTTTGAAGGAAGCTATTTAGAGGATACTCAATTGTATGGAAACATAATAAGAGGTTGGGATAGATATTTGGCGAGCAACAAAAATACTAATAGTAAAGCTGATAAGCGTAACAGGAAATTTAAAGAGGCAGAAAGATTATTTTCTAAATCGTCTATTACATCTATGGCTGTAAGTAAATACATCTATTTAACGAGACTTAATTTCTTATGTGTATATTCATTTTATTATATGTATAATACAAGTTTAGAGTTATTTATAACTTTGAATTTAACTCTTTCTCTCAATAAATTCTCTAGATGATTGACTGAAAATTAATAATATATTATTAATTTTCAGTCAAGAGACACATTGTTGTTAGATTAATTTTCATTATTTCTTATTATAGGCGGTTAGCGGACTCGTTGAGAACACACAAGAAAAAAGTAAGGACCTCAATGGATATTCATGATAATATTTATTTGTTTAAGTTATTATTCTTGTATTTTGTACACTTTTCTTTATTAGTCTCTTTTCTGCAGAAATAATAGAATTTTAAATTTTATAAATATGTTTAGTAATTGTTTATGTCTAATTGAAATTATTCCCTGATATTGTGTTATTGTATTACTATATGTTATAAATAGAAAATATCTGCACACTGATTTTTTGTTTGGATTGCTTTACGTCTAAAAGGACAAGTTTATTAGAATTAGAGCATCTAATACTACAGTAAAAAATTAATTTTCCTGTGATAAAATTAAAATTATACATAATGTACAAACATGTTTTATTGAATTTTATTATATTGAATATTGTACTCATCCACGAATGTTAAGTATCGTTAATTCAAACTGATTTTATGCTCAGCTTAAATGAATAAATTTTTTTAATATCCAAAGAGAATTTTCGACATATCTATGCTTAGTAGTATATAAATGATATTTTATGAGAAATTACGAAAATTCCTTTCTCTCTCTCTCTCTCTCTCTCTCTCTCTCCATTTTTCTTTTGATCTCTATGTAAATAACACTGCATGTATATCTCAAGTTATATAAGTAATTATGCTTTAAGGGAATGTTAATATCTTGCATATATATAGTAGCAGTATAGTCTATATGTATACAATATAATTAATGAAACAGAATAATGTTTTATTAATTTATAATGAAAAGAAATAATATTTTTATTGCACAAATGTTTAATCTGACGATATAAGAAGGATGATACACGCTCTAAGATTGTTACATGAAAAAATTACATCTCCAACACTTGCTTATGCACCTGTATACCTCCATCTTCAATCGATATCTATTTTCCACTGCTTGCTTTCTCTCCATCTATATGCATTTTATACCGTTAATACGAGATCCCTGCTTCCAGTTGAACGATACAGCGAATCTGAGTCTCAGATTGGAAATAGTGGCAGCGAGGACAATTGCAACTTTGGCAATTCAAATACGATTCCTTCCAGCAATAACAAAGAAGCTAGTGGGAAAAATCATACTTCTATTCAAACTGGACATGTCCAAAATAGTGGCACTCTTAATAGCTCTGACAATACTTCGATTCAATTTACAAATGGATCGATGTCCAATGGAAATTTAGAACATGTTAACACACCTGTTAAAGAATGTCATAGTAATAGTAAAGACTCCAATAAAAATAAAGCTGGAAACAGCGCAAAAAAGAATAGCAATAAAAGAGCTAGGAATAGATAGAAATAGGTAGAAATTATAGTGATACGATATACATTAGTGAAACATGTGTTAACTCCATTTCATTTTTATTATTATTACTAAATGATATATATGGACGGATTGTGTTTGTCATTTACGGCTTTTTTCTTATTTGTAATCTTTACATCATATTTAACGTTTATTGCACATCCAAATATTATCGTTAAATATCAGTTATTTTGGTACATAACAATATTTTCATTTTAAAACATAAAACTGTATAATTAAGTTAACACATTTTGTTTCTTGAGTTAAATTAGTTTTATTGTATTATATATATATTTTTTATATGATTTAATATATATATATATATATATATATA